TTATAATCTAATGCTATTTCAGGAGTGGTCTTGCAAGTTAATATCAGAAGCACTTACTAAATATTTTAAAGTTCATATATACTTAATTCATTTTAATTATCTCATCATTATTTTTTTGAAAGGCAGAGTTACAGAGAGGCAGACACAAACGCACACACACACACACACACAGATACTCCATCTGCTGGCCCACTCCCCAAATGGACGCAACAGCCAAGGCTGGGCCAGGCTGAAGCCAGGAGCTTCCTTCAGGTTTCCTACAGGAGTCATAAGGGCCTAAACTCTTGGGCCATCTTCACTGCCTGCCCAGGCACACCAGAAAGGAGCTGGATTGGACGATTATCAGCCAGGACTCAAACCAGTGCCACATCTCATGTGGGCACTGCAGGTGGTGGCTTCATCTGCTATGCCACAGCACTGGCCCCAAAAATAAATTCTTAAGTTAACAATGTATGACCTCAAAAGGTTCACCATAAAACCTTTTGTTTATGTTCTAGTTATTATTATGTATTGCTTTTTAACCAGATTTATGTCATGATTATCAATCTATTTATGAAAGGTATCTATGCAGACACATTAGTTTATTGCTATTCGTATTTTAAGTGGGTAAGATGTGAAAGACTAACACTTAACATAAAACATTTGTATATGTTTTGCATGAAAACCAATGAAAATTCTGAATTCATTTGTGCATTAAGTTGTCATATAAATCCTAAGATTAATATGGATTTCTCATAAATAGTCTGGGATAAGTGATTAACAAGTAAACCAAAACACTTGATTGTAAATCTCTGAATACCAAACATGAAGAATTTTTAATGTGACGGGTTACCTATAATCATAAATGTCAAAAAAACAAATCAACAACTGGACAGTTGAATTTTCAATAGGGATAAAATTAAGGTCTCATTGCCTTGACTGATATCCTATAATCCAACTTCTGAAAATTTTCTCCCTCTTTAGCCATTTTTAATTTTTAGTGGGATCTGGCATTTGGTACAGTGGTTAAGAGGCCACTTGGGCTGACCACATCTCATGCCTCAGTGCCTGCATTTGAGTTCTGGCTCTGCCTCTGCTTCTGATTCCAGCTCTCTGCTGATGTATGCCCTGGGAGGCAATATCTAATGGCTTAAGTAATTGTGTCCCTGCCCCTCTCGTGGAATACTCAGATTGAATCTGGGCTCCTGGATTCAGATTGGCACAGCTTCAGCTTTTGTAGGCATTAGGGAAATGAACCAGTGGATGAGAGATATATTTCTCTCATTCTTTCTCTGCCTTCAAATAAAATGAAAGCAAAGAAATAATTGCAAAAAGAAAAAATCAAGTACATTGAATAAACATTAATCAGGAAAAAATCTAACAGCTCACATACTGAGTTTAAAAGTATGATATTTATAATTTTATTTGCATAGAAGCATTATGGAAGGATATACAAGATAAACTCAGCAAAGCTTATTCCTGGAGTGTAGGGTTTATGGAATCAGATGAACACAAGGCTGTCTTTTCTTTAATCTAGAAATATATTTTATATGAACACTCTAAAACGTTCAATAATTCACAATCCAATGGGAACTTAGAGAAGAGGGGAATTATATTTTAGAGGGACAAGCTATCCTGCTGATTAAAACATTATGCATTTGAAGATGTACTTCATTATATTTCTTTAGCTGTATTTGATAATTAGTTTATTTAATTTCAAGATTATATTTATTACATTGATTTTCTTTCTTCTTTTTTTAAACTTTTATTTAATGAATATAAATTTCCAAAGTACAGCTTATGGATTACAATGGTTTCCCCCCCATAACGTCCCTCCCACCCGCAACCCTCCCATCTCCCAGTCCCTCTCCCATTCCATTCACATCAAGATTCATTTTCGATTCTCTTTATATACAGAAGATCAGTTTAGCATACATTAAGTAAAGATTTCAACAGTTTGCTCCCACACAGAAACATAAAGTGAAAAATACTGTTTGAGTACTAGTTATAGCATTATTTCACATTGGACAACACACTAAGGACAGAGATCCTACATGAAGAGTACGTGCACAGTGACTCCTGTTTTTGACTTAACAAATTGACACTCTTGTTTATGGCATCAGTAATCACCCCAGGCTCTTGTCATGAGCTGCCAAAGCTATGGAAGCCCCCTGAGTCACTGACTCTGATCATATTTAGACCAAGCTATGGTCTAAGTGGAAGTTCTCTCCTTCCTTCAGAAAAGGTACCTTCTTTCTTTG